ACTTTCTAAAATTCCTTTAATTAACTGCCATGGTTATGGGAAGGCAGCAAAATACACAATGCTGTTTGTGTGTCAAGGAAACTCACCCCTGAAGACCCTTTGTCAATATATCTAACGAGATCAATGGGCTTCTCCATTCCCAAGTCATCCTCACCCCCAGCTATCTCTGCGCAGGGCAGATGGTCACTGACAGCTCCTGCCATGTGGCCATGGCACTGCCATATGATATTGGTTTCCATTGCTTTGCACTCCCCGATGCTGGGTGAGGCATGTGAAGAAGAGTGGACACTCCCCCTTGTGGCTGAAGGTGGCATGACAGCTCTTTCCTAGGGCCCCCTGCTGGCAGTCCTGCAGAGGTCCCTCTTCCATAGTTCTGCCCTCTGGCCAGATCCCATTTGACTTCCAGGGGTAGCAGAATGTCCAGCAAGTAATTACAAGATCTTGTGTCACTCTCTGGGCTTCTTCCCTGGGTCCAGTGTCCCTTACACTTTTCTCCAGGGGTGGTGCCAGCTCCTTCCCAGTGGGGGGCTGAGGTGGGCCTTAGCCCCTCCTTGCCATGGGGCCCTGCCCCTCTCCATGGCTCCACCCCCTTCTCCTCCTCTCCCTCCAAGGATCCACCCCCAGCCAGTCCAGAAGTCAGAGCTGAGCAACAGGTAAGAGCCACCTTGGCGGGGAGACCCAGTTCCAGGGCCATCAGAGCCCTCAGAGACTGACCACGGGGGTGAGGCCCAGGAGCCCTGGCTAGAGCAAGTTACTCCTGGCAGTGTGGGGATCCATCAGACCCTCCACCTGCCCTGGGCAGCGTGCCCTGGATGGAAGGGACACTGGCCGTGGGCTGCTCTCAGGCACCCCTGCTCCATGCCCAGCAGGCCAGCAGAGCTGGGTGTCCAGAAAGTGGCAGCTGCTATGGGTTGGCTATGGGGTGAAGGCAATTTTGGAGGGGTCTATAGCCTCTGCAAGTCCCCCCTGAGCACTGCCATTGCCCTTTTCTCTGGGTTTTCGATCATCCTTATCTCCTGATGCTGGGGGATGGGGGAACTTCACGCCACCTTCTTAGTGGCAGGTAGGGGACCCAAGCCCATGCTCTGCACCAGGTTCCAGTCCAGGGACACTAATCTGATAGCCAGGATGTGCTCTGTGAATTGCCTTACCACTGCCTGTCTGGACTTCTTTTTGACATTCATCTTCCTTTGGCATTTCTCCAGCCCCTAACAGGAAACCTACTGTAATGGGTTGGGTCACAGAAACCCACTTGATGTGCTGAGACTACCTCTGAGCCCGTTTTTCCTGCCACCTTGGGACTTCAGTACCCTGTCTTGTTGAGCCAGACACACTAACCTGCTACAAACTCAAACACAGGTTGAACCACATCCCCCACAAGCTGCAGACTTAACTGAAAACAGCTTAAGAAGTGCTCCTGTCTCTAGCATCCATATACCCACTTCCCAATGGGATCCAAACCCCAAATAAATCTGTTTTACTCTGTGTAAAGCTTATACAGGGTAAACTCATAAATTGTTCGCCCTCTGTAACACTGATAGAGAGATATGCACAGCTGTTTGCTCCCCCAGCAATTAATTACTTGCTCTGGGTTAATTAATAAGTAAAAAAGTGATGTTATTAAATATAAAAAGTAGGATTTAAGTGGTTCCAAGTAATAACAGACAGAACAAAGTACATTACCAAGCAAAATAAAACAAAAACATGCAAGTCTAAGCCTAATACAGTGAGAAACTAAATGCAGGTAAATCTCACCCTCAGAGATGTTCCAATAAGCTGCTTTCACACACTAGACTCCTTCTTAGTCTGGGTCCAGCAACCACTCACATCCTTGTAGTTACTGTCCTTTGTTCCAGTATCTTTCAAGCATCTCTTTTGAGCCAGCTGAAGACAAAATGGAGGAGTTTCCAGGGCCTTTTATATTCTTTCTCTTGTGGGCAGAAACCTCTTTCTTTTCCTGTGCAAAATCACAACAAGATGGAGTCTGTAGCCACCTGGTCAAGTCACATGTCTATGAATGATTCAGATTTTTGCAGGCCCATGCCCTTGTTTACATGTTAGTTTGAACATTCCCAGGAAAGCTCAGATGTCTCCCAAAGGGGGAAGGGATAGCTCAGTGGTTTGAGCATTGGCCTGTTAAACCCAGGGTTGTGAGTTCAATCCTTGAGGAGGCCACTTGGGGATCTGGGGCACAAATCAGTACTTGGTCCTGCTAGTGAAGGCAGGGGGCTGAACTTGATGACCTTTCAAGGTCCCTTCCAGTTCTAGGAGAGGGGATATAATTATTATTATTAAAGTCTATTGTCAGTTAAGTGTTTCTTGATTGGGCACTTATTGAGAATAGTCCTCTTTCAAGAAGCTGACCAAATGCTTCACTGAGGCTACTTTGAATCAAACACATTGAGATAGAAGTACATAGCCAATATTCATAACTTCAAATACAAAAATGATACACACATACAGACAGAATAATTATAACCAGCGAACTACAACCTTCCCATAGACATTCCACTTTGCCTCCTCTGTACAAGAACTGGTGCAACCATAAGACCCTGGTGGCAACAGTGATCTATACGATCACAGTTTATGTCAGTAATGTCACACCCACATGGGCTTTTTATTTGCTGATGGTGAGTAAGGAATGCACATTGAGTCTCTGACCCCGGTCATCACTAAGGCCGTGAGTCTGTCATGGAAGTCATGGATTCTGTTACTTACTGGGACCTCCGTGGCTTCTGCAGTGGCAGTGAAGGGTTCCTGAGCAGCTGAGGCAGCCTCGGGGCCAGACACAAGCCAGCCACTGCTCATGCAGCTCCAGGCAGCTCACCCCAGGGGACACTGGTGCAGCAGTGGAGCCTTGGAGCTCTCCAAAGCAGCAACAGCCCCCCGGACCCTGCAGAGCACCTAAGATTTAGTCAGGTGTATTTATAGTACAAATTCAATGGATTACCTAGGGAGATGGTGGAATCCCCATCCTTAGAGGTTTTTCAGGCCCGGCTTGACAAAGCCCTGGCTGGGATGATTTAGTTGGGAATTGGTCCTGCTTTGAGCACGGGGTTGGACTAGATACCTCCTGAGCTCTCTTCCAACCCTAATCTTCTATGAGTCTATGATTCATGGACAGGTCACAGGCCATCAATATTTGTTTATTGCCCGTGACCTGTCCATAACTTTTATTAAAAATATACATGACTAAAGCATAGCCTTTGTCATCACACACAACAGCCATTTGCTTTGGAATTAGCATTTTTTCTCATAAAGTCCTTCACTGGCATTCCACCAGGCTTCCTTGATACCTCATGAGATGTTTAGTTTCAGGGAGATTTACAATGTAAATCTCTGCGATTACATTATCACAAGACACAAATAAGTAAAAACAAGGCTTGTAACATCCCATTAGTTTTATGAAGTTTAAACACCCCAAACACTTACACATTTAACAACCGCTTTGATTTCCACTAATACGTGAGTACATTGAGATGAATACGCTCTAGAATAAACTGGTTTGCCAGTGGCACCGGCTCATCATTTGCCGTTTGCCGCTTCTGCCTCGAGCTGCGATGCTGAGTTCTGAGGCTCTGGCAATTGGCCCAGCGCTTAGTGATTTCCCTGGGTTGTGGGGGACCCCACTGCTGCTGCATCCTGTGTTGTCTTTGATCACGTTGTCTTTAAACGGAGCCCCCAGCCCAGGTAGGAGAGAACACCTGGCCCCACCCCCTCGGGCTCTCACTGGATTTGGGGTCACTCGCCCCGCTCAGCGCGTGAGGGTCAATTGGGCAGGCTGAGTACGGTTCTGCTGCCCTTGACTCGTACAATGAGGATAACAACATTTCACACCCCTGCGTCCCAGATTAACCCCGAACCAGGGCCGGCTCTAGGCACCAGCAAAACAAGCTGGTGCTTGGGGTGGCACATTTTTTAGGGGCGGCATGGCCGGCGCCAGAATGCCGCCCCTAAAAATGTGCCCTGGCCGCCCTAGCTCACCTCCGCTGCTGCTGCCACGGCGCGCAAAACAGCTGTTCCGCGCCCCGCGCCGGCTCGGGGTCTCCCCCTCCCTCCCAGGCTCTCAAAACCTGGGAGGGAGGGGGAGATCCCGAGTGGCCGTGGCGT